GGCAACCAAGCCTCATGTTCGCTTCAGCTGCATGGCTGCCGGCCGCCATTTTGGTTGGCAGTTAATTTGCATATCACCCTGATTAGCCAATGGGAAGCGTAGCGGAGGTATGGTTAATTACCATGTTTGTCTATTATTAGATAGGACTAGAGGCCCGGTGCATGAGATTCGTACACTGAGGTGGGGAGGGGTGCCCTCAGCCCAGCCTGTGCCCTCTGGCAGTCCGGGACCCATCGGGGGGTGTCCGCCTGCAGGCTTAGGCCCAATCCCCAGGGGAATCGGGCCTAAGCTGGCAGGCAGACATTCATCTTGCAATCTGGGGCTCTCGCATCTGGGACCCCTTGCTCCTCACTGAATGTCTGGTGATCATTTTATGTTTCACTTATTGTCCTTTTAAATGCCGTACAGTCCCTATGCTTACCCTCTCCACACAAAATCTGTGGTTACCAGTGTTTTTCCTTTATTAAATCCAATAGTCATTTAATTTATCCTTAAAAGTTTTTCTCCTCAGCTGTTCTGTCTGTTACCTTATCAACCCTCCTCTTTTCCCCCCTCTATATGCGATTTATTTATTTATTTATTTGTATTGATTTTAGAGAGGAAGGGAGAGGGAGAGAGAAAGATAGAAACATCAATGATGAGAGAGAATCAGTGATTGGCTGCCTCCTGCATGCACCCTACTGGGGATTGATCCAGCAACCCAGATATGTGCCCTAGACTGGAATCAAACCTGGGACCCTTCAGTCCACAGGCCGATGCTCTATCTACTGAGCCCAAACCAGCTAGGGCCCTGTGTGTGATCTTTTAAAGTTCTTCCAGTTTGTTCTTTTTTCCTATTGTCCTTTTAATGTCCTAGATTTGAATGTAGTTTTATAAGTCAAAGGTAAGTTCTTTTTGCCCTCTTTGGACCCAGTTTATAAGGAAGAGGAGGCTTTACTTATAAGCATACTAAAATTGCTTTTTATTTTTATCTGTGTGTGTTTGGGGGGGGGGCGGGGAGAGGGAGAGAGAGGGGGAGAAACACATTATGCTGACTGGAGATGTCTAATATAACCACATTTGGTGACTTAAGATAGAAAGGGTGTGATGGTCATTAGGGGTACTGTTGCACCCTGTTAAATTTTATGTCAATACTTTTCCTACTATTAAATTGAATGTATTCCTGGGTAATCTATAAATATAATGTGTTCTGATTATATCTGAATATCTCCCCCACCCAAGTATCTTCCCCACCCCAATTTCTAAGAAACTAGTGAATGATCAGATAACTTTTTATTTTATTTTAAGGATTGGATAGAGTACACACTGCACAGAACCATGAAAATAAAGTAGAGAAAACATGGCTATTGCTTGTAGGAAGTACTTTGAAAAAAAGGTTTTATAAATATACTAGTGGTCATTGTGCACATTGAAAGGAAAATAATTAGAAGAAATATTTTAATATCGCCATTCACCCTTTCTCTATAATAGAAATGTCC